AGAGGTTCCTAGATATTGTCCCAAATTAGGCGACGCTTACCAAATCTTTAGAATATTCACTGTCTTCAGTCATCCGACCCTCTGTAGCCAGAGTTACTTACAATACCGTAAAGGTAAAAAAAGTTAAAGTCCCTGTGCTTAACTAATTAATCACTACGCCATGAAGGCGCATGGGGGAGTGGATGTATAGATCTACATTTTCTTCACCTCGGTAGTAGTTGGAGGTGAGTGGTCAGCTTGACGCCCCTGCCACTTTAATCCCGGAGAGAGTGCCCCCAGTACTCACTGGATAGGAGGTTGGGTGAACCCCAGAGCCGGTGTGGACGACTTTGAGAAGAAAAAAATATTTGACCTTAGCAGGACTCTAACGATCCTTCAGGCGTCCAACCCGTATCCAGTCACTATACAGACTACGTTATCCCGGCTTATATACTGTAAAAATAAATATAAAAATGCATTGCCCAAGACGTGTAGCTTATGAAACTCTTAAGTCAAAGCAATTGACCATTCCTGGATTACATTCTCTGACCTTCAATTTAGACTTAATAGTGGAAACATGAATTTTGACATTTGGTTTTTCTAGACGCAATGTCGGCCTAATGAAATGAAGGACCTTGCACTGAGTGGTGTTAAAATCCCCAATCGAGCGATCGAAGAGTGTTAATGCCCTAGACCAAGCAGCTGGTGTGAGTGCCCAGTACTTCTTTCTCATAGACAACAGATCCGAGTTACCACATATCATGATTTTCTAACCACAAGTATTACTGACACTATATTGAAGTGGATGCCAGAGAAATAGTGTTGTGGGGAAGGGGATTGGACTGGATTCATATGACTGAAGACAGAGACCGGTGGCGGGCTCTTGTGGAGACTGTAATTAACATTTGGGTTCTATAAAATTCTAGGAATGCCTTATGTGACTCAGAAATTGCTGCCTTCGCAAGAAGGACTGGTCCCCATGAAATTCATATTATACATGCAATCGCTTGTTTTATAAAGTGTTTAGAAAAGTCCCCATCCTGTAAAGTTGAGAAGGTCCTCTCTTCCCTGTAGCATCTCCCGCAGCTGCCCCTCACCGCTGAGAGATATACAGAGCCTACAAAAAGCAATATAAGATCAACACCTCAAAGTCTGCAGCTTTTTGTAACTTGAGATCTGTGCTCTTGATATTACTAAGGAGAATGAAAGGGAGGGAAATGTGTCTAATGCGAGAAAGGGAAGTGAAATTCTGAATTTCGGATGTGCGTTATATTAGGTAAACTGGGTAATTAAGACTACGATGAAGTCATCCCTAATTGCAAACAGGCATTAAGTACCCATGCATTTATCCATTGCCAGGTAAAAATACTTACTCCGACTGGAGAGAACTCAAAACTCTACAGATTTAGTAAATGAATAATCAATATTAAGGCTTCAGTGTTTGCTCTTATTACGTAAACAAATTTTCAGTATCAATTTAAACATCTTCTGTAACAAAATGTCTCCTCTTTATGGCCGACCCGGTCAAGTACCAACCCTGTATCCACGGTAGGTTCTCGGTAGGGTAATTCATGGGTCCAGTAGAACAAGGATTTATCTCAGAGAATGTTGCGTGTGGAGCCTTAGTGGATGCAATGTTGCCCAGATCGGGACAACATAAAACTGAAGCAGCCCCCAACAGTCGCTGGCTTCCCACCGCGGCTGCCCGGGTTCGATCTCGGGTCTGGTCCAGTGGGATTTGTGGTGGACAAAGTGGCGCAGGGGCAGGTTTTCTCCGAGTACTTTGCTTTCCCCTGCCGATCTTCATTCCACCAAATTCTCCATCATCATAATCACCCGGGGCTGACTACAATAGGCAAATCAGTGGCCGCCGTGCCGAGTGGACCCAGTTGGACTCCACCCCCCACTAAGGGAGGTGCTATAAGTGGTCGAATTGGTAAAATTCAAAGAGATAGTCGAATCAGAAGTACCATATCAATAGTCGAATCAGAAGTACCAGTAACAGCAGTTGAATCAGAAGTACCAATAACAGTAGTCGAATCAGAAGTACCAGTAACAGTAGTCGAATCTGAAGTACCATATCAGTAGTCGAATCAGAAGTACCAGTAACAGTAGTCGAATCAGAAGTACCAGTAACAGTAGTCGAATCAGAAGTACCAGTAACAGTAGTCGAATCAGAAGTACCAGTAACAGTAGTCGAATCAGAAGTACCAGTAGCAGTAGTCGAATCAGAAGTACCAGTAACAGTCGAATCAGAAGTACCAGTAACAGTAGTCGAATCAGAAGTACCAGTAACAGTCGAATCAGAAGTACCAGTAGCAGTAGTTGAATCAGAACTACCAGTAGCAGTAGTCCATTGAGAAGTACCAAAAGCTGTGTAATGAGTAGAATACTGGTCTCGACGTTGAGAACAGGGATTTAAATAGCCTGAGTAGGCGGTACTCGCCACAATCTCAGCTTAAGTAAGAATTGTGAATGGACCCTCTCGTTTGCCCGAACGCTCATAACAACTGAACAGTGAATATGAATTCTTATCAATCGAACGAGTGGCGCCAATGCATCCGTCACACTTGTCATTATGCAGGGGTGAGATCATCACGCTTAAACACCGTCCATCCTCATTCGTGACTTTAAATCTGAAAAGATAGATTTACATTAACAATAACCTGCCATCAAATTAATCCGGAAAATATTCCCGTCTGCATTTGTCTCAGCTGCAACCCTCGAGACAACAATAGGTCTACAACATCTGCTTCAACTACCACGGCTACACGGACCATACCCTGGACTACCTTGGTATCTCACAACAATGTGTTTCACCAGTGCATATCTGAAGTTCGAAGCCGGGTTGCACTGGTACAACTTCTGCCGAAGTATGTACTCGCTAAATTTTGTTTCCATTGGTAAACTATTGCGTCATTTATAAGTATTAAATTGGGTTTCCTCCGAGTGAACCGCCCTTTATAATATATATTTGTTTAATACACGCTTTAAAGTCCCTTTGAAATGAAGCGTTATTTTACAAAAATACATAAATATGTTTTCAGAGCAGTCTGAACGCAATTTCCAATTCAGTTTATTGGGTATTCTTTCCTAACTGCCATATTCTGCTGATGCAATTGAAACATTTTTTTGTGCATATTTACCTGTTAAGATCGAGAATGAAATATTTCGTCAGGACAATAAATTGTTAAAAATAAAGTAAAAAACAAAGTTTTCCCTGTAACAGGCCGTGGAGGCACACAGGGTTGTGAGACGTCGAGGCTCCCACATTTTCTAGACAATCGGCTCAAAGATGGCGGTGAGGTTGTCAGCCTTACCCGCCGGCCGCCCTTTACCCCAGGAATATTCCTGGTACTCATTTATGTTAGAGGCTAAGTCGACCCCAGGGCAACAATGCGACTGGAAGGAATGAGAAAATCCGGCTCATCGGGATTCGATCCCGCGACTTTCCTGCTTGTAGCATAGTGTCTCAACCAACTACGCTACCGGGTGCCGCCGGACAATAAATTATTTTAATGAAATATATTTTAATCACTATCAAAAATAACGTATCCCGCAACAAATTAATTTAATTACCTCCAAAACCATAAGGCATATGACAATTTTTAGTGAATATAAAGTGTCTATTTCATTTCCCTCTACAATTTTGTTCTGTGCAATTTTCACCCTAAGTATGTTCTACGTTTGTGCATAAACGCATGCAGAAGTTCGTGTAAAATGTCTGTCATCAGATATCAACTCAAATGTTGACACGTCTACAATTCTCCGATATCAGACCACGTAATTATTTGTTGATATGTCTCCTTGGACTGTGAAACATATTGAATCCAAAACGAGTAAAATGAGACTAACGTGTCAAGGCGAGCAATGAATTCGGAAAAGAAATCTGGATCGATTTCAGGCGGCGAGACAGCAGACGTTTAGGGGCAAGTATCATGTGTAATGACACAGACCTTGCATAAAAATTTATTGGGGTACTTTGGTTCCCAGGATTAACGTTGAAAATATTATTGAAGCTTTATTGAAATATTAACATGTGTACAGTATATTCTTTACTGAAATTGCCCAAAGTGTTTAGTTTATAGTTTCGTCAGTGAGTTGAGGAGGTGAGTGATTGGTTGTGCTCAAGATAGCTCTATGATTGCTAAAGTGCGAAAAGTGGTTCATGCAGGATAAATTGTATCTTCGAGCACGTTATCCACATTTAAAACGTGGGATCTAACTCACTTTTGTAGCATTTGTACAGGGAGTCTTCGTCAAATGCTCCAACCATCGTTTAACTGTTGCCTTTTTAATACATCCTTGCAAATACGAACTCTTGTGAATTTAATTTCTCTTCAAATGGACGTTACAGCTATAATCGTCGTCCAGTTGCCTTGGTAGTGTCGTGTTTTTTCTTAGTTATTTAGAATCCCGACGATGGACAAAGTCCGAAAACCCAGTATCTCTGTGTGTTATACACCATCGTCAGAACCCTATAGTATCTATCTGTCTATACTTGTGTTGGAAAAATTTGGGGACGTTCCATTTGGTGTAAAGCATATGCCGTCAGTATTGTGCGGAGGGAGATGAAGGTCAGTGTGTACATGAGGAAGTGGGACATTACAAACAATTGCCTCGGGATAGGTTGGAACGCGCAAGTAAGCTGCTAACGTCAGAGTGTACATATATTACTCATTTCAAGGACAGAGTAAGGCGCGTGTATGAAACATTTATGCACAGAGAGAGAATACCCTGGTTGCTGATGACGACCAAACGATCAGCTAGATTCAACAAAATATTCATACGGGAAGCCGACGGGATAGACATGAAAAAAGTAACAGACGCATTTTTTAGATATTTTGTTGTGAACGCGCCAAAGGAGGATATGGTTCAGTCGATCCCACAGCAGGTGGCAGTACTGTACAGTTGGGACGGCGGATTTTGGCCGGTGGATCTCTGATGCGTAGTGGTCTGACGCATGTCGGCGAGCCTAAGGTTGGTGGGCTTGCGCAGTGACACTTAGTTGCCTCAGTAAGAAGGTAGACGTTGAGCGCGTAGGATCGCTGTTATTAGTAGATACTATGTGCTTTTCCCACGTTCCAGTTGCCAGTTGCCAGTGCCAGCCTACGAATGTTCTCTCTGCAGACGAAGCAAGTTCGTAGCATAGACTCGCTCTCATGCGCTGACGGTGAAGGACACCGGCCAAAAATATCGGCAGGGTTATAGCCTTGTAACCGACGAAAAGAAAGACGTAATTTGTGATACAGCGATAGGGAACATAGGGAAGGCGTGGTTGCGACGACGTGTGTCGAAGGTAACGAAGGTTCTGAAAAGTTGTTTTGGTCTGATTTGTGTGAGTATGTGTCCAGAACAATTAAATGTTTCACGTTCACTTGCTAATTATTCTTAACATACCCCACTACATTACATGTCTTACTGTTTTAAACTGGATCCATAATAACGTGGTTACGCCCGGTTCTCAGATAATAAGAATATGGGTTTCTGGGATGTGACGCCGTGTAGTTTGGTAGATAAGTATAAACGTTACGGAGGAACCTACTGTATCCAATTTGTGTTGTCAGTAACGATGCTACAGAACTTGTGTCTGTTATGGAATGAACTGAGATTCACCGATCTTGGGCCATTCGCAACCAAGTGCATAAAAAACACGTGTACTGGTTNCCCAGACGCACTTCTCCCACCTCTAGTAAATCCCATCACTCCAATACCATAGCCACTAGCAAGCCATGTCAGGCAGCGTTTAACTGGAACTTAAGTAAAATTTATCATGTTATATTTTAGCGTCCTGTTGCACTGATTTTACTCCATGATTTATTTAAACCGTCTTGCAGTGCATACACTCATCTATCTCCTCTCACTCGCACTACATGTTTCGGCACAAAAATGCCATCTTCATGTGCTTACTCAATCTACGCCAAACTAGTTCATTGCATGCCTTGTCCTCACATTAAAATAACTAAAATATATATCTATCATGTACATTGACAAATGTCAAACGTTAAAAATATTAAAATTANTTGACATTTGTCAATGTATATGATAGATATATATTTTAGTTATTTTAATGTGAGGACAAGGCATGCAATGAACTAGTTTGGCGTGGATTGAGTAAGCACCTGAAGATGGCATTTTTGTGCCGAAAGATGTAGTGCGAGTGAGAGAAGGAGATAGATGAGTGTATGCACTGCAAGACGGTTTAAATAAATCATGGACTTAAATCAGTGCAACAGGACGCTAAAATATAACATGATAAATTTTACTTAAGTTCCAGTTAAACGCTGCCTGACATGGCTTGCTAGTGGCTATGGTATTGGAGTGATGGGATTTACTAGAGGTGGGAGAAGTGCGTCTGGGTCAGGTGACCCAGAAGGCCATGACAATTGAGGTTCAAGAGGCAAAGTTTCCGTAACGTTTATGGTCTGCTGCTTGGTTTTTGTGATGCCCACGGTAGAGGGTTGAGGTTTGATAATAATATACTTTCCTTATCAAATCGCATAATTCTGGATGAATTGTCCATATAAATAAAGAACTTGCAATGAGAACCGCGTAATTAAAAAAAAAAACCGAAATAAAATTCGTTTAAAAAGAGATGTGTCTGACTTATCAGATGGCCTACCACGGCTGACTGAGGAAAATGATGTATGGGTATTACAGGCAGTGTAGAGATAGTGATTCGAACAGGTCACCTGCACCATACGTAGGCGTGCTAACCACTTCACGGCGACCTTCCGTGATATTTGCACCGATTACTAAGCATCATCACAGTGAAGAGCAGCCATTCTGTTGCTCCGGGCCCCAGTGTTTTGATTTAAGATATAAAAATATCCGTGACTTGCCATTACGAAGTACACGGCACGAAGCCAAAATATGTTTCTGTTTGCCTAGAAATGTGCCTAAATAGATGTTGAAAGATTTAGAATTTCAAACTGTACATTTCATGGCCGTAGTTTTATTCTTATCTTGAAAGTAAATGTATTTTGCCCATTGTTCCTACGAAACCGCTTTTTGTTATTACGTACGTAATGGCGAGTGAAAATAATGTGGTAGATTTTTGACATTTCGGAGATCATTGCAGTTTGCATCAAACTTAAATAACTGCTGTAGCTGTCAAAATTTGCCAAACGCTTATTCTTAACCCTTCCAGTGCCGACTTTCTTCGTCGTCATTTGCGAAACAGCCCTCTTTGAGCTACAGCCTTCCGCAGACAATTCAACCAGATTGCATCCGGTTTTCACTTCGTTAGATTTCGCAACAATACTAATGGTTTAGGCCGAGGGCACACCAAGGAAACAGGCAACCGCAACGCAACCACGATTTCCTAGAATTGTTATCAGCATGAGTTGAACACCTGTTAGTGAATTGAGCAGCGCAAATTGAGGAAACGGCAACGCAACTCGCGAAGAGACTGAGAAACTCAACTTCCAGGCAACAGAGCAAGCCAGTCTTCTAATAATTGTGTTGTCGCCTGGTTTTCTAGCATCAGCTGTTATATTACGCGCGTCAGTGATTCGTTTGTTTGTTAAGATGGCATGAAAGGTTGACGAAGCTGCTATTTTTTTTTTCTACAGTTAATTGATCAAGAGCCAGGTATATAAATGACAACCGCCACTAGGATTATGCTAGGCGGAACAAAATAGATTTGGCTTGGAAAAGAATTTCTCATGAGACGGAGTCTAGATCCAGATTAAGTTCTTACGAAATAATATAAACCCTTCAGTTTAAATTGTCAGAGAATAATGGATGCACCCAATGTTTTCCTAATATTGTATTTAGGCATCCTGTTGCCTAAAAAATATAATTTATTTCACATGTATTTCCGTCTTGAATACAACTTACTATATAGCCACCCTTCTTCCATACTATATATTTCGGCAATATGCGGCCATCATCAGGTGTTTTCTGTCTTGCTAGAATTGTTGCACTGAATGTCAAAATTTGGTATCGCGTGTGAACGCGTTATTTGCCGATTAAAATAAATTGACCTTAATTGAGACGAATTAATTAACATCGCAATATTTTCCATATGGCCGTCCTCTCTTCTCACGCCGTCTCAGCTGGTCTCAACTGCTGTCATATTATGACAGGATCGGTGTTATTATATTTATTGCAGAAGGTAAGTGTACGAAATTGAACAATACAATCATGCATTACGTCGGACGAACTCACACTTAAGATGACGTGAGCAACTACTCAAACATAAGTTCCCTCAGTGTGCGTCTGCTAATCTGGAAACCAGTTGCCTGCCTGAAATCGGCGATTTTTTTCGGCAGTTGCGGTTTTCAGTTTCATTGGTGTGCCCTCGGCGTTACAGAGCGAAGTCGTAAGCCTTGCGTCCAGCCCCCAACCTGAAGGACCCGGTCTCTGTATTTATGTCCCCCCCATTGAGAGGGTGGTCCAGTTATGCCACCAGGCACCGGGTTCCCTTTCCCTCGCCTTCTACAAATCGCAAGGCAACGGCGGAAGTATTCTAACCCCCCTCCACACGGGGGCTCTTGTCGAAGGTTCCAGCTCCAGTTCGCTTAGTGGGGGTGGAGTCCAGCAGGGTCCACTCGGCACGGCGGCCACTGATTGGCCTATTGTACCTGCCCCGGGTGATTATGATGATGGAGAATTTGGTGGAAAGAAGATTGGCAGGGAAACCGAAGTACTCGAAGAAAACCCATCCCAGCGCCACTTTGTCCACCATAAATCCCACTTGACCAGACCCGGGATCGAACCCGTGCCGCCGCGGTGGGAAGCCAGCGACTAACCGCTTGAGCACGCAGCCACATAAGAAAAACACAGTATATACACAATTAAAACATAAGAAGAACGACTCCCATAGGGGATGAATGGCGTTACACACGAGTTTGATATACGACATGTAAGATGATAGATCTTAACAAGTTTTAATATATCAATTTTATTATTGAACAACGACGAACACACATTTTATATCATTTTATAAATGGACACTTGATGGCAGGCAGTGCAATGGTTTAACATGAATGATACACCTGAAGATGGCAGAATGATGCCGAAACATGTAGTGTGAGGTGACAAGTGAAATTCTATGCACTGAAAGACGGTAAATATATACACATTAAGGTTATCGAAGGTAAATTAAGAACTGTAGAAAGACACACGTCTCTATCGGAACCCAAATTACATGCACGTAATCTGACATGACATCACAGTGTTTTATATTTCCCATTGGATAGGGTGTATTTCATATACACAGCTATTCTGGCAATAAGTTTCCGTCTTCTGGTGTAAGTGAAGGGAGACGAACGTGTTAGTTGGGCTCGTTAGAAACGGCTAGTCTTCACCACCGAGTGTATGAAATATACCCCACAAAAGGAACAATGTTCATAATTATGTTCGTACCATGAATCAGCCATTGTTAGAAGCGTTTAGATTCTCGCTAACGTGTCATATCAACATAGTCTTTCGCGAGATTTGAGGATCTCGTGGCCATTATTGTCGTTACTGCTGTGTTCTGATGTGTGATATCGTGCAGTCTCGAAGGGCGTTACCAACGTTTGGCCCTGAAGATGGAGCAGAGCTTTCCTCGAAACGTTGGTGATGATCAACCAGACTACACAGTGTTATAACATACATATACTGCATGTATGTCTGCAGGACTGAGAGGGTTAACGTTTAATGTCTGTTGCTTGCTACAGGTCTTCCCAGCACACAAGATGGCTATTCTGGACTGGACGTGGCTATGCCTAGTTTGGACCCTACTTGTCCTGGCGGCAGGAGTGGTACTGTACTTCTGGGGTACCAGCACATACGGCCGGTTCACAAAGCAAAATATACCACACCTTAAACCGCTTCCATTCATTGGAAGTATGGCACCATATATGGGGAAGAAGTCCTTATTTGAACATTTACTGGAAAGTTACAACCAATTCAAAGGCCACCAATTTGGAATTATGTTCATGTTTCGGAGGCCAGTTGTTTACGTGAGAGATCTGGAACTTATCAAAACAATCGCTGTGAAAGATTTCGAGTACTTCACAGATCACCAAACAGATTTTTTTGAAAGCGGAGAGTCGATATGGTCGAAACTGCTCTTTATTCTCAAGGGTGAGTGAATGACATACAGGTCTTAAGGATGTCAGTAGATTATATATGTAATTTATATATAATGTAAATATATAGAAATATGGACTTACTGAATAGTCATTATGACTTCAATAATATGAATGGTCTATACAGTATACTATACTATACACAATTGTTCTTCAATGTGCATGCCCCAACAGAGGATAAAAATGATGATATGAGGGACGACTATAACATGTATTCGATAAATTCCTTAAATACCAAATGAAAAATTTTGTTAGGAGATTTCATTTCCGAAGTAAGTAGGAAAGACGATTTCAAACCAACAATTGAGAATGTGAGTTTACAGGACATTAATAAATGGAGTTAGAGTAGTAAAATTTGAGAAATTGTAAAATATTATTTTCAAAAGTACAGGGTTCCAACATCATAATATTCGTAAATTTTCTTGGACGTTTCCTGATGGAAAGACTCATATCATTGACTATATTTTGATAGATAGGAGACGGCATTCAAGTATACTTGATGTCCACTCGTTCAGTGCAGCAGATTGTGATACTGACCTCTACCTGGTGGCGGAAAAAGTTAGAGAGAAAATGGAAGTGAATAAACAAACAACGCCCAGAATTTTGTGAAGGGGCTTGATCTTAAGAAATTGCAGGAGATAGAGGGTAAAGAGCAGTAGTGTGTTAAAATCTCAAATAGGTTTGCAGCTTTTGAAAACTTAGAGTGAAATGGATATTAATAGAGCTTGGGAAAGTGCTAGAGAATATCAAAATTTGAGTGAAAGTGGGCCTAGGTTATTTTTAATTGAAGTAGCATAAGCCATGATTTGACGAAGGATGCTCAAAATTATTAGACCATAGGCAACAGGACAACAGTGGCTACAGGATCCAAGCGGAATAAATGGAGATAATCTGAACAATATAAGACATGAAGCTACGGATCATTTCAGGAATAAAAAGAGAATATCTGAAAGACAAAAGTTAATGAGCTTGTAATGAACAATAAGAACAAGAATATTAGAGAACTGTTTAGAGGAATAAATGACCTTAAGAGAGGTTCCCAATCTAGCAGTGACTTAATGAAAAGTGAGAATAGTGATTTGCTTGTACAATAAGGTTCCCACAACATTTTAAATAGTTGGAAGGACCACTTATCTCAGTTATTGAATATACATGGGGTCAGTGATTTTAGGCAAGTAGAAATACATATAGCTGAGCCAGTAGTATCTGATCTTACTCATGTGGAGGTTGAAATTGTGTTTCAAAGTTGAAGGAGTAAAAATCGACAGGTAGTGTTCAAATTTCTGTAGAAACTGTTCAAGCAAGGGGTGAAATATTATGGTTTCCATTTCATGCATCCTGTTGTGTTACAATATACAACCTTTTTATTATATCCATCACAACACAACTAATATCAAGATCAGACCATTTTCGGCCCTGCTACGTGTTTCAGCTATTGATAGCCATCGTCAGGCAAACACATGATTTACACACACATAAACACTACTGAACCACAGCAACAACAAGATCGGATACAATATTATTAAAATACATATATATATAAACACTTGATGTAAAAAATACAAAAATCAAGTTATATAAAACAAATATGATATAAAATAAGAATAAAATTCTGTTGGTGTTTTTACGAGTACATCAACGTGTCAGTCATTGGTTTGTGATTTGTTTTTTGTTTTGTTCCTACGGACAAGTTACAATATTCATACTTGCTCGTATATAAAATTATGAAATGAGGCTCATAATGTAGATGCAGTAAAGTAAGTTATAAAATTAGTCAGTGCCTCATCTTACAAAGTATTGTCCGTACTGTAGGGAATGTAAACAACAACAATTTTATATAGGAATAAGTATGAATATTCCAACTTGTCCGTGGGAACAAAACAAAAAACAAATCGCAAACCAACGACTGACACGTTGATGTACTCATAAAAACACCAAAAGAATTTTATTATTATTTTATATCATATATCTGTTTTACATAACTTGATTTTTGTATTTTTTACATCAAGCGTTTTTATATATGTATTATAATAATATTGTATCCAATTTTGTTGGTGCTGTGGTTCAGTAGTGTGTATATGTGTGTAAATCATGTGTTTGCCTGATGATGGCTATCAATATCCGAAACATGTAGCAGGGCCAAAAATGGTCTGATCTTGATATTAGTTGTGCTGTGACGGATATAATAAAAAGGTTGAAATAATATGGTCTGAGATCCATAAACTCATTAAGTCTCTTTGGTATAAAGAACAATTGCCTGAACAGTGGAATGAGTCTGNAAGTAAGTTATAAAATTAGTCAGTGCCTCATCTTACAAAGTATTGTCCGTACTGTAGGGAATGTAAACAACAACAATTTTATATAGGAATAAGTATGAATATTCCAACTTGTCCGTGGGAACAAAACAAAAAACAAATCGCAAACCAACGACTGACACGTTGATGTACTCATAAAAACACCAAAAGAATTTTATTATTATTTTATATCATATATCTGTTTTACATAACTTGATTTTTGTATTTTTTACATCAAGCGTTTTTATATATGTATTATAATAATATTGTATCCAATTTTGTTGGTGCTGTGGTTCAGTAGTGTGTATATGTGTGTAAATCATGTGTTTGCCTGATGATGGCTATCAATATCCGAAACATGTAGCAGGGCCAAAAATGGTCTGATCTTGATATTAGTTGTGCTGTGACGGATATAATAAAAAGGTTGAAATAATATGGTCTGAGATCCATAAACTCATTAAGTCTCTTTGGTATAAAGAACAATTGCCTGAACAGTGGAATGAGTCTGTTATGGTATCAATTCATAAGAAGGGTAATAAAGATTGACTGTAGTAATTATCATGGGATATCACTGCTAGCAACTTCATACACAATTGTATCCAATATTCTGCTCTCAAGTTTAAGTCCATACATAGATGATTTTATTGAGGATTGTCGTCATTGTGCGTTTTGGCGAAACAGATCAACTACTGATCATATCTTTTGCATTCATCAGATACTGGAGAAAAAATGGGAGTACAATATAAGAGTACATCAGCTATTCATTCGACTTCAAGGTAGTCTATGATTCTGTTATGAGGGAAGTCCTGTGCAGTATTCTCATAGAGTTTGGTGTACCATGAAACTAGGTAGGCTGTATAAATGTAAAGTCCATATAGGTAGATATTTATCTAATAATTTTTCTATCCAAAATGACCTAAAACAAGAAGATGCTTTATCACCACTGACTGTTAACTTTGTACTAGCTTATGCCATTAGGAAGGTCCAGGAGAATCAGGTGGGTCTGAAATTTAAATGGGATACATCAGTTGCTGGTCTATGTTGATGATATGAATCTACTGGCGGATAACATAGATACCACAAAGAAACAGATAAACTTTAATTGATGCTAGTAAGGAGGTTGGTGTCAAAGGAAACGCAGAGAAACTGAGTATCTGTTACTGTCTTATCAACTGAACGCAGGGCAAAATCTTGACATAAAAGTAGCTAATACATCCATTGAAAATGTCGTACAACTCAGATATTGTGGAACGACACTAACAAATCAAAATTTGATTAAGGAGAAATTTAAGAGGAGATTGAATTAAGGGAATGCTTGCTACCATTCAGTCCAGAACCTTTCACCTTGTCTGATGTCTAAAAACTTATAAATTAGAATACATAAAAATGTAATTTTGCCTGTGGTCCTGTATTGGTGTGAAACTTGGTCTCTGACATTAAGGGAGATATGTAGACTGAGGGTGTTTGAAAACAGGTTGATCAGGAGAATATTTGGACTGAAGAGGGATGAAGTGATGGGAGGTTGGAGAAAACTGCATAATGAGGAGCTTCATAACTTATACTCTTCACCAAGTATAATTAGAATGACCAAGTGAATGGGATGAGATGGACAGGGCATATAGCATGAATGGGGTGAAGAGGAATGCATTAAAGATCTTAGTTGAAAAGCCAGAAGGAGATAAGCTACTAGGAAAGCCAAGACATAGATGGGTGGATAATATTAAAGTGGATTGTAGGGAGATAGGATGGGGTGGCATGGACTGGATTGATCTTGCTCAGGAAAGTGACCAGTGAAGATATCTTGTGAACACGGTACTGAACCTTCAGGTTACATAAGTTGTTGGGAAATTCTGGAGTAGCTGCAATACTGTCGACTTCTCAAGAAGGGCTCATCTCCATGGAGTTAGTTTATATATATATATATGAGTACACCTTTTAATAGCTAACCTGATTTTAATTTTTATTCCAATTATAATATTTAAATAAAGAATTATATTTAAGTTTAATACATTCCATAACATAAGGGTATACATAAACAATATACCTGTAAAATGCACTTTCTGTATGTGAACACTGACCGTTGTGGAGAGCTATAGTAGATAGAAGGGTGATTGTAAAGGCTGTTTGTACCTGATGATGACCACAATAGGACAAAACGTATAGTACATGCAAACATATGGCGTGTTTATACCAGTATTTTTCAACTGAGTGAGAACAAACTTTGTGACATGGTTCGTATTTAATTAAGGACAGAGAAAACTTCATGATTCTGCAATCAATAACGATTATTTCTGTAAACAGCCACTCATAATGGATACCCAGGTAAGAAATGAACTGCTAAATATTATTTAGATTAACTTAGAGTTTTAAAGTGCTAGTAGAAGAGGTACTTAGTAGACATCATTAAGGTTAATTAGAAGTTGCTTTGAAATTGCTAAATTACACTTTAAGTAGTTTTAATAGGTGGCAGGAGCATAAGGCGCTTGGACACTTGTGTTCACATTAAGCAAGCCTCAGTCTGGAAAGTTTTCTGAACCACTGTTGTATGTGGCATAGGCCAGCGCTGGAGAGACATGCGGGCCACAGTAAGTCCTGCTTTCACATCCAGCAAGATGAAGACCATGTTTGTGTTGGTGAATGAATGCAGTGAGCAGCTGCTAGACTTCCTGGAACAGAGCTATCAACAGCCACTAGAAACCGGCTACAAAATCAAAAGAGGTAAACACATTAGCACTTTCATAATTAGTGTCAAATAAATGAAATTTAGTATGAAGAAATTTTACTGTAAACAGGCCAACGGGCCAGTTGTAATGATATACTGGCTGGCCATGCTTGTTGGACTTATGGGTTGGTGATAGATGTGTACAGACATTAATGAAATGATGACTCGCATGGGAGAGCTGCAGCAGGAAAGCCTGCTGCATGATTTCCTTGACGTGAAATTGTGCCTCTGTGGTGAAAAGAGCCTATGCAGCAGGTGTGTACTGGAGCCAGTTCACATCATCTCGGTTTAATCTAGTGCCTAAAAATTTATAAGCTAGGAAATTCCAACCATTTCTTCTATATGGCTCTTCTGACCCCATTATAGGAACACACAGACACACAACAAAAATTTATAAGCCATTTTTCTATTATTGAAAGTAAGTTGATAAATTATAAAATTTTAGAATAATAAATGATTATAATAAAGGGAAAGTTATCTCTCTTCTTAACTAATTAAACAATACACCATGAAGGAGTACAGGGGAAATATGCATCCACATTTTTTGACCTCGGGACTAGCTGGAGGTGAGTGGTCAGCTTCACGCCCCTGCCGCTTTACCCCCGGTACCCATTCGATAGAATGTAGGATGGACTCCAGAGCCGGTCTGATCGACGTGGAAAAGAGAAAATTATTGACCCTACCGGGACTTGAACTCTGACCTCTTGGTTGTCTGCTCTGTGGCCACTCGCTGTACTGACTACACTGTCCCGGCTCTTCTAAATTTTTGTAATGTAAATGTAATAATAAATGATTTGATGGACCTGAAATCTTGTCTCTGCGTTAAGAAGAATGTAGGCTACAGATGTGATATGGAGCTGGGATAGCTCAGTTGGTATAGCGACTGCCTTGTGGGCTGGATGACAGAATGATTCGGAATTTGAGTCCTGGTAGGCTCAAGAATTTTTTCAATGATGTCCAGACTGGTTATGGGGCCTTCCCAGCCTCCATTCCAGTGGGTACCAGGGACTGTTCCCCTGGGTGTAAAGCGGCCGGGGAATTAAGCTGACTACTCATCTCCAACTACTGCTGAAGTCAAGAAAATGTGGATCTATACATCAACTCCCCCATATGTCTTCATGGCGTGGTGCTTAATTAGTTGAGCACAGGGACTACTTTACCTTGCAGGGCTTATTCTGGTACATAAGAATTGGGAACAGATGAAATTCCAGACCATCTGACAACATTAAGGGGAAATACACAGACACACACAGTGACAAAATTTTAGGCCAGTTTCCATCCTTGGACCAAAGCTCATAAAAGTCAGAATTTAATATTACTGGGGTTCTATAGCAAACATAATTGCCCCACACTCTTTCTAATGACACGTCCCCATACAAGTCAGCTTCCCTGGCTACCTACTGCTCAGTGGTCTCATTATCAGGTATGCCCAGATGACCAGGTATTGAGCAGAACACAGCTGACTTTCCAGACTTATTCACATAAAGAAATTGGATGAAAAATCTCTGTAAGAACTAGGTGATCTTGTATGTGTACATGGAGAACTTGAAAGACACAAAGAAAATCAAAAAGCTGAGGTGTGTTAATTGAAAGGAAGAAATCTGTATATGGCATAGGGTTTGGCTGTGTCTACACTATTAAGGTAATGGAGGCAGTGAGATGATGCATGGTCTCTTACACCTTCCTGAACCTGGAACCCGTCAAGCTATCAGTGTACATAACCATATATTCTGGATACTCAGAAAGGAGTTCCTTGAAATATTGACGATATTAAAGTGCACCTTTCATGAAATGAGCAAATGAAAGTTGTAGGTCAGGCATGTGTTATGCCAAGGTGGAATTGTTAAAGGTCTGTTGAGAATCATACATGCCAAGTGGATATCAGTTTGCTCAAGAAGGTGGCAAAATTGATTTCTGAGGTCTAGAAGTGCTGATGTTCACGTCAGACCTTGTGTGGTAAGTGCATTGAAGAAAATGCACTCTATGAAGGGTGATGAGGCTATGTTGATAAACTAGTTGCATGCCAACAGAGGAGATTCCTTCACAGAGATGTTTGAGTTTACGTGGATTCCTCATACAGAACATTTAGATCGCTGGTGAAGAAAACTCCATTAACATGGTTAAAAAAAAATCCCAGTCTCATGAATATGATGTATGATAGACAGATTGAAATTCTGTGTCTGAAAACAGTTCAAATATGGTAAAATCAGAGCATCGCCATCTGGGCTCCGCTCCATGACCAGCCGTATAAAACTTCTAAAATTTTCAATAACTGTTCGCATTTAACTTCAAACCATCTCAAATGAGGTTCCCAAAAGGGTATGATAATAAGAGGAAATAACTTGGCAGATGGATGAAATAACAGAACACTGTTTTTAAGAAACAGATCAGATGGAGGATCTAAACTACAGTTGTGAGAAATGTACGCAGTGGGTCTTTGCTTCAGAAAAAAAAAGTCTGCTCTGCAGAGCCATTGTGATAGATGTATGTGTAAGGGTGGGCCATAGCAGTTTGGCCCTTGCACCACAATCAACACTGATCTATTGTGCTTCTGTGATAGATGGTTCATGGCTAGTTTGAGATATTTTTCAACACTTACAGTTCTAATGTATGATACTAGCATTTTGTAACAGTTCCAACTGAGCAGGTGTCTTCCCACTTCTCCACTTGAAGAAAATAAAAATATGGGTCTCAAAGAAATAAACATGGTAATGAATCTCCTGATTGCATAAAATGATGGGAATTTCATGGCTAGCTAAGTGGCTATTAGCCTCTGAAGCACTCGAAATGTTTGCTCAGCTTAATAGATTTTCTCTTCAGGACAGTTATGTTTTGTGTGCCACAGAGCTCGAGTATTCCCCTTGAAATTGGACACCAGCAAATTTTATAGTTGTTAATAGTGTGAAGGTGGTAACCCATTCTCATCCAGACAGAAATTCTGGATGTATGAAGCTGCACCTGTATTAGTGACCTTTGTGGTATTATGCCTGTGCTGAATGGTGACATTACCCTTGCCTTTAACATTATATGTTGAAAATGTTATGATACCCATAAATAGTCTGTTTAGATGGCTGGTATGGGTCAGAAATAGGTTTGTCCATAACTTTTGAAATTGTAGTACATGCATAATGAGCATGTGTATGAGCAGCCAATCCAATTATGTGACATACATTATTTGGTACAGCATGAGACTTGGTAGAACTTGTGTTCCACAGTTTGAACACTGTTACATTGGTACTACTGTACAGTCATATGTGGAGAACCTTAAAATAAACCTTGAAACACACTTAATTTCACAGCAAAATCTAAGTGTTGTGCCATGAAATAAGGTGTATTAGGAAACGTCAGATTTATGCTGTTGTTTATGTATTTTCAGATGGCGATTTGTTGGTGCTGGAAGTAAAGGAATTGTATGCCCGATACACAAATGATGTCATTGCCACAACAGCATTTGGGCTTAAAGTTGATTCCCTAAAACATCCAACAAATGAATTCTATATGATGGGGCAAGATGCCACCAGTTTTGGTGCAATCAAATGGTTAATCTTCTTGTCAATACCAAAGGTCATGAAGGTCAGGACTGTTTATCCAGAGACATGCTATGTGTATATTAACCCCTTGAAGCATTAAGTTGTTGGAAGTAATATATCAAACTCAGTTCCTTCCTCAGAGACACATAAATGCTTTGTGTGGCTAAACTGTAGACATATTTATTGGTGCAGCATGTGGTGCATATTATTTCTCCCTGCTTTAATTGGGTAAACAGTATCAGTTGCTGTCTGTCTATATCTATTTATATTTGAGTATAATATACTATGGCAGGGTAATCTTGTCCAGTTTAACGACAAGTTATTTGCAGTTTGAGACACTCAATTGGCCACAGCATTGTGTACATGTTCCACACTTGGCTTCAGCAGTTCTTCATAGATTGTTCTATTCTAGTGTCATATTGCAAGGTACAGGTACCACATATTTTTCAAAATTTCTCCATGGATGGTTCCATAATAGTGTCATAACGTGGAATAAGGTTTAGAACAATGTTGAGTTAAAGAAGAATGAATATTACATATATCTGAGAAAAATTTTCTAAGGAAAAATGTTGGACCAAGACAAATGAACAAATATGAAACGGGAAGCAGAATTTTACATAATCTGAACCTACTGATTTGCCCAACTTTCTAGTGTAACTAGGTCAAGTGGAGGTAACAAGAAATGCCTACTGAAGTTTGGTTGGATGATTTTTAGAAAGCAGTAGTTTTGAAGAAAAATAGTGACCATATATGAGGAGGTTGTGGGATGTGTAATGAATTTAACTGATATATAATGTCATCTAATGACAGGATGGTGTGTTTGCTTCTTCTGCTTATATTTTAACAGAGTTTATTTCTTTGAAGTTATTAATGCAGTGTGTGTGATTTATGATTCTCATGGCAGCGGCTTTGAACATGTCATCTGGTTGTTCACTGAGGTGATATGATGCCATGTAATATGGTAGAGATATACCAGAGTTTTGGAGAAACGTACTGCGTCCATCTTCAGGGTCAAAAATGAGCCGACATGCAACCAGAAGGCAGAAAATACTGTCAGATCATTTCTTCAAATCATTGGTAATCTCCTGTTAGAATAGATGGCTTATTATTCTAGAAGGTGGTACAATTCATAGGCATCATCATGGGAACCTCGAGTTCTGCATAGTTGGTCGTTATCAGTATTTCAGATGAACCTGATCCTTCTACTCTGGAGACAGTAGGTCCCTTTGAAGCATTGGTAAGTGTGTACCAGAAAGTGTGGTACCACTTTGTCAAGGCAGTATTGCCATAATTAATACAGGTTCTCTAATAATTGACATAAAGTTTGGCAGAAATTCAGTAGAAAAATTCTCTCCTTCTGTTCCCCAACAGGAAATGACAACGTTTTGTTAATCAACCAAAAAACAAAATCATCCATTTAATTATGACAACAAATTAATTGGTCAGTTAGAACAGTCTTAATTATATTAAAAAATTTACAACTTTAATGTTGTTGTACAAAATTACAAATAAAAATGGTACATTGTTTGACTATGATGAATGTTTTCTGTTCAGTTTTTGGGCATTAACCTCATACCAGGGAAGATCACACAATTCTTCAAGACATTGGTACTTGACACAGTTGCCACACGAGAACGAGAAGGCATCATCAGACCAGACCTGTTGCACTTGCTGATCCAGGCTAAGAAGGGAACTCTACATGAAGAGGACTCTGCAGAGGGTCAGAAGGGTGCCAAGATAAGTAAGCTGCAGCACTTTGATCTCATGTGTTCAGTTGGACAGTTCCATACTCTACTGCTTTCCAGTGATGTCATAAAAATACTTCAGAAATGCTCTTGATAGCCTTCCAGTCACACTGAGAGGACCCATCCACCTATGATCATAATTATCACCACTACTGCCACCGTTGTCATAATCATCACCATTATCCATCCTTTTGTCTATCCATCCATGGTGTTCATCCACAAATGTAACCAGCCATCCATCCATCGATCATAAATAATCATTTATGTTATCTCATACCATATTTCATAAAGTGACAAAAGATTTGAACAGTAATTGACTCATTAAAGTACTCTTATCTGTAAATATACAGTTGTTAAAAGCATTCATGAATCTCCTGTTACATGATATGTGTGCGCTCTATTGATAGTGACAGTTAATTGTATACTGTATTACAGTTTTAAGTTTTCTAGTTCATTGATGAGTCTTTGAGAGTATATGCTTGTACTCGGGACAGACATGGACTAAATGTACCTGTTTCAGTTGCCCCTCTTGTTTGATTTCTGTAGCCAGTTCCATGTGGAGTTATGTTACTTATATGTATATATTCGTATGACTAGTATACCCAGATTAATTTTATCTGCATATGTACTTTTGCTGGTGCTGCTGCTACTCTTATCTTTGTTGTCATCATCATTGTCATTGGTGATGGTGCTGTTTTTGGTGGATATACAATTTTAGCAAGTTGGAATACCTGTTTGGCTGTTATGCTACTTTCATTTATTTTATCATTTTATGTAATCATTGAGGACAAATCTGAATTGTAAATTCAGTTAGCAGCTTTCAAAACATGATACTTCTTGTCACACAATTAGATGATGAAGACATCATAGCTCAATCCCTCCAGTTCTTCTTGGCTGGATTTGACACATCTTCCACACTTATGAGCTTTGTCTCTTATCTGCTGGCCATACATCCAGATGTACAAACTCGGTTGCAGGAGGAGATTGACAAAACACTGAAAAAGCATGATGGGAAATTTACGTATGAGATGGTCCACAGCATGAAGTACCTCGACATGGTCGTGTCAGGTGAGAATATGCAATTGTTTATTCATAGAAACTAAATACTCATATATGCTTATCTCTGCTTCGTGATATTTGAGTTTATCACAGCTGTGAATATGAAAGTCACCATCTGCTGGGACATGATGCTGTGCTTTACGAAACTGCTTGGCATAATGTTCCAGAGCACAGTGATCTCCTGTTGCACTGTTTCCTTTACTCTTCAGTATTTCTGTGTATTCCATCCACAATGTTGTGATTATATCCATTAGCAAGCTTCCTGTCAGTGGATTTCAGAAATTTTTACAAGACATGTATGACAGGTGTGTTTGTGAAAACATTTGATTTTGATTTGTTCTTGCCCCCAGTAACTTATACTTTCTTTAAGTTTAGAACTGATTTTCAAAGTACTAGAAAAGATTAGTGCCTGAAATAAAGATTATCTGTAGTCTGCTGAAGCCTGAAGTTTATCCACATAATCTCATGTGTAATTAGTTTTAAGTGGGCACTACTGCTCATAATATTTGTCACTTTGTCATTATGTTGTCCGTGCAATCCAGATGCTAATCTAATGTTAGTAAGTTACTGAAAGTCATACATAAAAATACTCTATAGGAGAAACCAATTGCTAGTGTTGGCATATATTGTGGCATGTAGATCCGTTGCTAGGCAACGACTGTGAAACAAACAACACGTCAACAGTTACTGCTAGGCAACACTCGTAAATATGAAACAGTACTAGAGCCATTGATAAGCAGCGGCCCTCATGCAGCAGTGGAAGTACTATTGGAAGCGGTGTTTTCTGTGTGGTCTGCTCCAAGGCTATATCACTTGACCACCGTAGTTGAGTTCAGTTAGTGCAATGCAGTGCAGCACAGTGGAGTGAGTGATTGAGTGAGAGAGTACTGCTGCCATTCAGTCCTTTTTGAGCTGTTGCTGTTAGAAGCTGGTAGGTGGCGCATGGGGACAGTTCAGGAAACAAGAGGAAGGGTAATGTCTGCTGTTGGAAGCCGCTACCAGACAATCAATATACACAGAACAGCCTGGAAATACTTAAGTGTGTGCTGTAGTGAACTGCAGAGTGTGAATTAATGATGGCGCTATAGTTACTTGTAGTTACGTTCTGTAAGTGTTCAGTAGATCCAGTTACCAAGCCAAACCCCATTTGTAGTCACTCATACACATGACAACTGGTGTCGGAAGTGGTTGGAATGGAGACCACAGTAAGAAAGTATATCGCCACACTATGGAGATGAAACAAATTATGGTATGCCTGCTGGCTGAAATAAGAACCAACCACAAGGAAATGAGAACCAACCAAGAAATATGGACGCTAACCTAAAGGAAATGAAAGTCGGCCAGGAACTCCTGAAAGAAGAAATGTACACTGACCACAAGGAGTTGATGGTGATAATGAAAGCCGGCCAAGAAAAGATAGAGGCCACAGTGGAGGTCAGTCTGGAAAAGACATAAGTCACGGATTTGGATAGAGTCCGAGTTAGAGCATCAGGAAGTCCCTAAGGAGGAGGCTGCAGTGGAAACTGTTGGAGCACTGGAGGACAGATATGGGGACTGGCATCTAACCGTAGGGCGTCACCGACAGGTGAAGAAGCTGACACGGCGCTGATGTGTCCCGGAAGAAATTGACCACTGCCTGCAGACTGATAACTCTCCATGCCGTTCTGGCACAGTGTAAGGGACACGGTCATAAAGGAGCGAGGGTCGAGAACAGACGACGGATGGGCCCGGAATGCAACAGTGGAATGAAGAACTGGGGCGTGTAAGACTGCAGCTACATCTAGGAAAACAAGAGGACATTCGACAGTATCGTCAGGCAGACTCAAGCTGGAAGCCATGAAGCGAGCAGTCTGGATTTCCATCAGATTGCAGAAAGTGGGTGAGAGGACACTTTGGAGGGGTCAGTGCCCTCCGAAGCGAAAGAAAATATATCCAAAACTCAGTCCACGGAAAAGAACAAGAAAGAAAACATCTCCTTTCGCAGGTCACGGTAGCCAAGCGGTCTAAGGCATGGACTGTCTTCGTTCGTTCGGAAGCCAGGATCGTGGATTCGAATCCCACTCAGGGCATGGATGTTTGTGTGGGTTTTTCTGTGTTTGTCTACAGGTAGAGGTTTGCGACGAGCTGATCACTCACCCAAGGAGTCCTACCATAAGTGTAAGATCCAGTAAACCGAAGTGAAATGGAGAGTTTCATGGAGGTAGCCCTAGGCCCAAATTGGGGCTGTAGCGCCACAGGAAGGAACATCTCCTTTCACCACAATATTGCACAATGCATAAGCCTTGTTTTCAGACCCAAATCTCAATCAGAAATTCCTGCTATATTTAGTAATTGAAGAGATTTGTTTCTTTCGTGTTTGTATCAGGAATTTTCCACGTAAGTTAAATTTGAGGAAGCACAGTCACACTGAAATTATATAAACAGAAGATAGTAGGTAAAATTCAGACACATATGAAACTTAATGATGGCACTTTACATCAAGCCAAGTACTGTGTCAAAGATGATGTCCGCAACTTAGAAATCGAGAACGTGATAATGTGCTGCCTCATCAGGGCTGTCACATATTTCAGAGGGCTGTGATAAATGGGTATGGAATGATGCTGTGGTGCAGCCATTAAGAAAGCATCATTTTATGTATTCATTTTATGTTTATTAGAGATAATTTGCTTTCTCTTTATATTCACAGAGCCAAATAAAGAATTCAGTACGGGCAGACTTACACAAAACACATATTAAGGTCTTTGATTCCATACTGACAGATAGCATTCCACGTTCACAGAACCTGAGACATTAGTCAGTATGTTTAATCCATAAATGATAATGTATTTAAATTAATATTCACAGAAACACTACGCCTGTACCCACCAGCAGCAGCTGTGGGACGAGTTTGTGTTAAAAACTACACACTGAAATCTGACCCTCCACTGGAATTGCGTCCTGGAGACGACATTATGATCCCTGTCTATGGGCTGCAGCATGACCCCAACTACTTTCCTGACCCTGAGCGCTTTGATCCGGAACGATTCAGTGATGACAATAAGCACAACATCAACCCAATGACATACATACCTTTTGGATTAGGCCCAAGAAGCTGCATTGGTGAGTAATATTTATGATTAGTTCCTCACTTCTTCATTAGCATTTATATTAGTAAGAAAACGTGAAATGAGATTCAGGTCTTCTTGTTTTTCATTCAACTCAAGGATTGGATATTAATTCTGTTTTGATTTTCAGAAGTTTTATAGCTGAACTTTTCAGCTGCTGCTGGTTCTTTCAATTTTTCACTCTTCTCTGAAATTACATATGTAGGCTTATGCAAATGTTGGTTGTGTAAACACAACAATGAAGTAAATTAAACTTTAATAGAACAATTAAAATTAAAAAAAAAAATCAGTGCCTCGTTAAATTTTATTGTCTCATTCAGCCACTGCATGTTTTGATTGCATTGACATCATCAGGTAGTTTGTAAATAAATAAATATAATATATTATTATCGAAATTCCGAGTTAGAACAAAAATTGTCTTAATAAATTCTTGTGTTAAGTGATAGAATAAAAAGAAACATAAATTTTAATGATTTTCTTAGTTTGTTAAAATGGTTAGCGTAAGGTGGATGATGTATATTGTGAGGCGTGACTTAGGAAGGGTATGTAGTGTGACATGTTGCGGAATGGAGGACACCCCCTCCCTCCCCCAGCAGCGATGTGGCAGCTCTGGCTGCGGTGACGTGGCAGGTGAGTCAGCGCTGTGCCCCCTCCACCCTGCACTGCAACGTGGCACGCAACGCCGCTGTTGACACGGGCAACAGACAACAGTGAACGGAATAAAAGCTGGCTGAGCAGCAAGCGAGAGTTAGTGTGTGATCAGGAGTGACACAGTTGGAGTATAGAAGAAGTCGCGGTAAGAAGAACCGGACGTGTGTGTAATTGTGTAATTGGGAGTGTGTGATACAGGGACACTTGTATAGCTCCCGTATCGTGATTAATACATGTAGACTACTGATGACAGAGTGAATTTATTATTGCGAATAGGGTTATAAAGTGTGAAACCCCGCAACAGCGGTAACAGATTATTGCGATTAGGGTTATAAAGTGTGAAACCCCGCAGCAGTGTTATAATTAATTGTAGCTGATACTTGTAGATTGTTAAATAAACCAATTAACAATCCGAACGGCGTCTTCAGTGACTAAACACGTTACAGTATATACAGTGAAGTGACAAGAATAATGCGTAATTTATTGATAGCTTAGTATGCTTAATTTGAAGCATTGTATGTATAATAGGCTCTATGGGGATGCATAAGGTATATTTTACTACTGTACTGGTGAATGATGGTGTATGGTGGGGATGTGACTTAATATGCCAACTGTAGTCATTGGTATTGTGTCTCGTAGAAGTAATGAATCCTGGATGTATAGTTGAGTGTAAGTTGTGTGATAGTTGTTACTTGGCATGGAGATGTATTGTTGGTCTGGAACAATAAGTAGCGATATTCTGAGTTATTTTTGTTTCTGCCTATGTGATCTAGTGGTCATAGGTCCCGGGTTCGATTCCCGGCGCTACCAGATTTTCTGATAAGTAATGTATCTGGGTTTTATGCAGAAACTGCCTTCTAAAAGAAGTTATCGAAGGAAAGATAGATGGGCGGATAGAAGTGACAAGAAGACGTAAGGAGATGCTGGATGACCTTGGGGACAGAAGAGGATACTGTCATTTGAAGGAGAAAGCTCTAGATCGCATTAAATGGAGGAATTGTTTTGGAAGAGACTGTGGACCTGTCGTCTTGACAGATTACTGATGATGAGTGTGTCTGGAACGGAGTCCACTCAGGCTCAGGATAATTGAGGTGCTACTTGAATGGAAAAGTAGCATCTCCGGTCTAGAAAACTGAGATTAACGGCTGTGGTAATCCGTCGCGCTGACCACGCAACACCCTCTATCCACAAAAGTTGGCACTAACTTCGCCGATAAGCGGCGGTCGCTCGGTTGGTCGGTATACTTATCGTGCGGACTAAAAGCCACGGAGTTTAGTTTTTATTTATGATGATGGCTATTTCCTGCTGTGACATGTGCAGAATGCAGTTGGTTGTGCTGAGACTTCTGTCCAGAATACTGTAGGATGACCAACAAAGACATAAAATATGAATGCTATTCGGAAAGTAACTTCCGTTTGTTTCAGACAACTAATATAGAAATGGGAGAGAGCTCGTGCAGGAAAAGTAGCGTCAAATGATTCATTGCCTTGTAAACCATCACGTAACTGGTCCGTAGTGTAAGGTCTTGTTTCTACAGTGTGAGTTATAATGTGTTCTGCAATTGATAATCCTGCCAGCTCCGAAATTCGTGCAGTTATTCGCTTTCTTCATGCTAAGAACTTCAGTGCTGCTGAAATCAATCATGAATTACGCAAGGTTTACGGCAAAAATATAACGAGTGAAGGAACTCTATGGTACAGAATGTTCAAAGATGGGCTAACAAATGTTCATGATGAAGAGCGAATTGTTCAGCTGGCCATCTATTGTGAGTGATGATCGTATTGAAAATGTTGACCAAAAAAAGTGAGAGACAGCCCTTCACAATTTCAGAACTTTTATGTGAATATCCTCAAATTTCATGCACTTTCTCTACGTGATTATCACTAGTCTTGCGCAAGGTGTGTTCCATAAGTACTCAAGTGTGCACACAAAATGCAGAGAATGGCTTTTACTTTGATTTTTTTAGAGCGCTACCATAAAGATGGTAATGAATTTCTCAATCACATTGTATGAGTAACAGATGATTATAACTGGGTTTCATTTATAAATGTTGAAACCAAAGTGCAGTCAAAGCAGTTGATGTACACACATTCACCAAACAAGCCGAAAAAAGTTTAAATAATCGTCGTCTTCCAGAAAGCTGCCGGCAGCTGTTTTCTGTGACAGGAAAGGAATTCTGATAGTGGAATTAATGCAATGAGGGACCACAGTAATGACAGAAATGTACAGCAAAACACTAAGAAAATTCGTAGTTCCATTCAGAACAAATGGCGTTGAATTCTGACATTTGGTACAGTGGTTCTTCATGACAATGAGTGTCTGCATGCAGCTGCTTTCACTCGAGGGCCGTTGGAGCATTTCAACTGGGAGTTATTTGACCACCCTCCTTAGAGCCATGATCCCGCTCTGAGCGACCACCACCAGTTTATTTGTACCTACCTGAAGAACTGGTTGGCATCACAGCCCTTCAAGAATAACAAGGAGTTGATGGAAAGTGTCAAAACATGGCTCAACTTACAGGCGGCAGACTTCTTTGACACAAGCATACAGAAACTTATTCCCTGATACAACAGGTGCCTAAATTCTGGTGGTGACTACACTGAGAAGTAGCTTAGGTGTCTACAAATTTTTTGTAAATAATTATTTTTCCTCTGTGCTTATTTTATTAACAGCTCACTGGAGAGGCTGCTCATTGTGTTGATATTGTTGCTATGTTGTAGCGGTTTGGTCTATACTGCTTCTACAACATAGTGACAACATCAACACAGGGAACAGCCATACACATATCATCATAAGAAAATCTAATATGCATCACTCCAAATAAACAACTTGTTGCGTGACATACAGAATAACGTGCATAAGCACCGCAAGACGATAATAAGGTGAAGAGCACACAACCTGTTTAAAGAAATTTGTCGCAAAATACTTCATTTCAATATTAGTATAATTTTAATTTTTATGTTTTAATATTTAATCTCTAAGTTTTAAATTTCATTATCTGAATATTTAAAATTTTAACTGAAGGACTCACTGTATGCATTTAAAACACTCACGTGCACAATAAGGATCCTTATTGAAGAATTAGCCTTAGGTGTTTATGGATATATGGATTTTGTGTTCCAGGCAACAGATTTGCTCTCATGGAAACCAAATCATTGTTGGCACACCTGCTGTCACGTTTCAGCGTGAAAGTGATTTCTAAGACACCAATTCCTATCAAAGTAATACAGAAGGGTTTCAATGTAACTGCAGAAGGTGGTTTCTGGTTGGGTCTAGAGAAGAGGATCACTTAAACTGTGTACTATATTATGTTTGTGCATAGAAAATGTGTGCTACTTACATACAACATATACTCTAATATTTGTATCATAATATTCGTAATAGTTTGAACTTATATTTTGTATGTAACACTGAAGGATGAAGCCATACAGTGAGAAACAGAAGTAAAGTTCAGGCAGTGATTATGAAATATTTGAACAGTATTGAGAGAGAAGAAGAATAAGAAAGGAAAGAATTAGAAATGAAATTTTTAGAGAAGAAGTTATAATTAAGAATTTATTAAAAGATTTGGGAGGGAAACCATTGGAATATTTTGGCCATGTAAAAATAATGCATGGAACAAGGGTATTGAGAAGGGTATTAGAATTAAAATTTGAAAGAATGAAATGTATGTAACAATCCAGAAAGATGCGGTTTATTCAAGTACTGAAAACATCAATATGAGGGCTGGGAAAAAAAAAATTAGAAGGAAAATTGTGGTATGTAGGAAAAATTTGAGACCCTCTGTGTGTAGACTGCTACAAAATGAAAACAAATCAAGAACAACAGGAACAGGGGAGGAGAAAAAGAAATTATTTATTACTACAAAATTGATGAGAAAAATATTTTTTACCAACAGATAAGTATATTTGAGCAAGGTACATTCCCCAGGATTCAAGAGCAGATTGTAAAATTTCAGTATGAAGTTAAGATGTTGTTGATGCTCTGTGAACTGCAAAGTTATGTACAGGCCATGTGTTTAGACATGGAGAAATATGGCAAGAAATAGTGAGGCAGTGTTTGCAGCTTCATCATGGGGGTGAGGAAGGGTGAGACACTGTTAATCCACATTCTCTCTGCATTCTGAGTTAGTGGAATCACCCAAATCCATTGCCCAGTCTCTTGAGAACCACCAGGTCTAAAAACGTGGACAGAACTGTCAGATGATATACAGGAACATTATATGTGTCGAATGAAGAGATGGAGATGAAATGATAAAATTTTTCCATGTGATTGTTTAAAGAGTTCATGAGTCAGATTACATTAGTTAAGATTTTATTTTATTAAAGTATGATACAACATAGAAAGCTTGTATTGTAATCAACCAATGTTCATATCAATATCATAAAAATGTTTATATAGAATAATGCATCTCAACTAACATAGATGCTGACCCAGTGAAGGGATGACCAAAAATATCCCCACACCAGTCAGAATTGAATGTAAGGAGTGTACCAAAACATTAATACCAACGATTGTTTTTGGTGTAATTAATGTATGAATATAGAGACATACAACTCAGGGGCCATGCAGAAAAGTATTTTTAAATAGCTTGCATGTAAGTATGTAATCAAGTTGTCAGGCTACTCTCCTTTGGAGAGAAATCCTGTTGATGCCCTTATCAATTAACACACTGCTTTGCCAAGCTTCCTTGTGGCCTATGCTAATGATCAACATGAATTCCAGTACTTCTATAAATAGATTATGTTCTATTTTTAAAACAAGACAGCTGACAATAAGGAAAATATAATAAATAATTAAAAATATATATATATTTATGAAGTTATGCAAATGTATATATGAATATTACAGGTATTGTGTTTCATTGTTTGTTCAATGACAGTGTACCAGATGAAAATGTTATAGTGCTGAGTATCTGAATTAACACTAAAGTTTGTCACTTTACAGATTACAACAGCACAATTGTTGAGTTTATACAATATAATATGTTTATTATAGGTTACCATTTCTGCTTCATAATTTGGAATTTTCCAGGTTATAATCTTGTCCTGAGATCGCCTATCCTGACTGCGAGTTTTCCTGGTTATTTCAGGTTCCTTGAGGCAACTATGAAGGTAGCACTTTAATGTAGGCCACATCTGCTTTCTTTCGCATCCTTTCCAGTTCTTTATTCACTGATCATCATACCATTCAGTGCTACAGCACTATAATCTGTGCTACTGACAATGTCATTAAATGAGACACACATAAATATACTGTTGATCGACATTATGGACAGCAAAAATTCTAAAATATGCTTCAAGTCTAACATACAAATCATGATTCTGTCCAGCTTCATGTATGTAATGTTGACTAGTCTGTGCTTATACAGGATGTCCCAGGAGGAATGTGCCAAACTTCGGGAGGGTGTTCCTTATGTTAAAGTATGCCGATATAACCCAAAACACCTATGTCCAAAGTTGAACGGTTACGGAGATAATGGCCCGAGAAAAGTGTGGTCTTCTAGCGGGTCCACGGATTATACCTATCAGCTGAGAGGAATTATCTCTGTTTGTCCTTGACTGCCGTGATTCATCCTATCCGTGCTTATGGAGTTGGCTTTATCAGAACGCGCAGTCAGCACGTTACGTCATCGCTTACCATTCATGTGTCATGTACAGTGCTTGGAACTCTTAACGACAACTTTGAGATGGCATGCGAGTTTTTTGTACTTCAATTTTATGGCTTCATGTCACTCACAAGTTAGTTTGATGTTACGTACATTATTAACGTTACAGAATCCACATATTCCTGCCAGTTTTAATATCTATTTTGTAATCAACAAGTGTGTAACCCCGGTCAAAGTTTGACACTTCTCTGGCCATTATCTCCGTAACCGTTCAACTTTGGACATAGGTGTTTTGGGTTATATCGGCATACTTTAACATAAGGAACACCCTCCCGAAGTTTGGCACATTCCTCCTGGGACACCCTGTATATAGTGTAGTGCATATAAGTCTATTGCTGACTGGCTCTGTCGATACTGGATTTCAGTGTGAAATAAGTAATTAAAGGCAGATACCAAAACTGAGAGAACACACTTTGATACCCTTGTGTTGGTTCCTACCTGTGCTGTTCTTGGCCACCTACCATGATGTCAGTATTCAGTTTCAAAGATAACAGAATAAAGAAACTTACCTTTTGCAACAAACCCCCACGTGGCTATCCAACAATGATGAGCATAGATAGATCTCTGCATTGTAAAGGTAAAAGGTAGAGCTATCCCTGTAACAGGCTGTGGAAACCCATAGGCTTGTGAGATGTTAAGGCCTCCACATTTTCTAGAGAGTCAGCTGACAGATGGCAGTGAGGTTATCAGCCTTACATGCCGGCTGCCTTTACCCCCAGGAAGATTCCTGGTACTCATTTCTGTTAGAGGGTGAGTTGACCCCAGGGCCATAGTGTGGCTGGAAGGATTCGGTCAGTTGAAAAATCCAGTGATATCGAGAATTGAACCTTTGACCTTACAGCTTTTAACATAGTGCCTCAACCAAGTACACTACTGCATGTCCCCTGCAGGGACTATATTATAATCATGCCCTATTAGCCTAGTGTCATGAAGGAATGAAGAAAACTGCAGAGACAGAAGACTTCTGCAATAAAGACTATAAATGATAGCTCATTCAAGTTAACATTCCTAAATTGAACGTTTTTAGAAATGGTGTTTATAGTGAGCTCCTGCAGTGATGCAACTTGTGATGATTAGTTATGAGGTGTGCACTGAAAGGAAGAAGCACTGAAAGAACTCTTGCTGTTAATTACAGGTAGAAGAGCTAAGACCTTTCACAGCCTAGTCACCACAATGACTGAGCTATTTCATCCCCCTTTACCTTTGAGTTATGTCACTATAAATATAGTAGGGGAGTCTAGACATGGGGGAGGAACTCGTCAGTGACATGAGCACACAAAAAGAGCTCTTGATTGCTTCCTGCCAAACCCACACGTGTGGTCCATTAGGAGAGAAGAAAGTCTAGTGAAGTATGAACCAAACTGGAAGTTAGAGACATTGGTGGCGTTTTCTTACAACAACAGCAACTGATACACTCTGAGCTCTATGTTTTCTATTTGTTGCACTACTTATACATGGACACGTTTATGTATCATACCAGCTTACCTTTACCTAGTGATTAAATCATGGAACTGAGAATTAATTAATTAATTGCTATTTTTAGAAACTAAGTATATGTTGCTGTCTCCTCACCAGAGTGCAGGACAAAACTATAGTATAAAGAGCTAATAGATCCCTTGAAAATGTGATAAAGTTCAAAGACTTGAGAGCAGCACTAACATCAAAACTGCATTCATGAATAAATTAAGAGCAGATGAATTTTTGGGAGGCATTCCTACCACTCAGGATGGAGCACACTCCCTTCCTCTACCATCTGAAAACGTAGAGATTAAAATAAACAAAACCATAATTGTTAGTTCATGTTTTGTGTGTGTAATACTTGGTCAGTCACATTATTATAAGAGTATAAGATGATGGTGTTTGAGAACAGAGTTCTGAGAGAAAATTTGGGCCTAGGAGGGAGGAATTAACAGGAGAATGAGGAAAATTACAAAGTGAACAGTTTCATAATTTGTACTCCTCGACCATTAATATTAGGACCATGATAAGACTGAGGAAAACTACAAGAAACCTTAGTCATGATAGATGGTTTCCCATCCGAGATTTGAACCGGGAACTTCCCGAATAAAAGTCAGAACCGTTACTGTTTGCTGAGGTAGAGTTTGGAGAGGTACGTACGAGTAGTATGGACTGCAGAAGCAAATGTCTTAGGGTGTTTAGTGCCGTCTGCGTTTCCGATTGAATTTCCTGAACTGTATCAAATCTTCGCCCCTTCAACTTGATTTTAATGTTGGGGAGAGAAAGAAGTCGCATGGAGCTAAGCCTGGCAGGTACGGTGGGTGGGGAACAACTGCCATATTGTTTTTAGCCAAAAATCCTGAACAATGTAAGCCGTATGCGGTCGTGAGTTGTCATGGTGGAGTACCCATTCGTTTGTGCGCCACTTCTCTGTACGTTTTCTCCTCATGTCCTCCCTCAAATGCCTTAGAACATCGCGATAGAACTCTTTATTGACTATCAGACCAGGAAGGACGAACTCCTTATGAACAATCCCGTCAATATATTGTGACATGTTGACCCCTACCTCCCCAGCTGCACGTAGCGGTAACGTAGCGCTCGCGTAATAGGCGAGTAATCACCCCGCATCCTGGTAGCTATGCAACGCGCAACGCGCGGTGACGTCACGAGCGGAGCCGATGTGAGCCGAGCGGAGCCGACGTTAGCCGAGTCCCCGCAACCTTGAAGCTATGCAAAGCGAATCAACAGCGGTGACGTCACCGAGGGATATCGCGGTTGCTAGGCAGCAGTCAACAACTCCGGACAGCGTGGCTAGCAACACGGTACGAGACGACAATTGTCCGATCGAGGCTACATAAGGAGCAGCGAAGGCTATTCACAGTCAGTCCTGGAGCTACCGCCGAGTCAGCCCTCGCGCTACCTCCGAGTTAGTTCCGAGTTAGCCAGCAGCTAGTTAGTTGTATTCTGGCATTTGGAATGTACTATTTGTGATACTGCAGATAGCAGTAATCGTAAATCTGTAATTTGGGTGATTGTAAGTGCGAATGTGAAATAAAATTCGCTATATAAAATACGGCGTGAAGTTATTTGTCGCGTTATACGCCCGATACGTGACAATATATAAAAAAAACAGATCAACATGGATTTAATGTTCATCTTGACTTGTCGAGGGTTTTTTTTTTGGCTGAGGTGAAGAAGGGCTCTTCCATTGCGACGATTGCTACTTACTTTCAGGGTCATAGCCATAAACCCAACTTTCGTCACCAGTGACAACCTTCGAAAAAATGCTTGGATCCTCTTGAAGCTGTTGTTGAAGTTCCCTGCAGACTTCTAAGCGATGCTGCTTCTGTTCATTTTGCAGCAGTCCTCATGTTCAGTTCCTCTAACAAAATTCGTTGACATGTACCATAACTTAGTCCCAAGGTGTTACAGAGGTCTTGGATGGTCAGTCTACGACCTTGCAGAATCAGATCCCTAACTTTCGCGACATTTTCTGGTGTGGTGCCAGTTGACGGCTGAACGATCGGGACGGTCATTTTTGAAACGCTTATACCAGTCGTAAGTTTGTGTCTGGTCTAAACTGTTGTCACCAGAAGCTTGCTTAAACATTTGGTGCGTTTCTGCAGCGGTTTCCCCAAGTTTAAAACAGAACTTTATACAGACACCCTGCTCTCTCAGGTCAGCCATCGCAAAACCACAAACTCACGGAAACACAACAATGGATATACGTTCACCAACAATAAACCCAACCACTCAACTCAATGCCGCTTGCCTCACTGATTCAAGAAGGGTGTGTGGGAGACACCTAGTGGTATTTCGATGTACTCATAACCATTTGCCCACAAAATTCAAATTTCGGGAACGTTTGGATTGCACCTCGTATTTTAGTAAACTCCTCAATCCAGTTTCATGAAAATCTGTTCAGCCGTTCTTCAGGTATTACATACGGACAGACATGCGTGGTAAAGTCAGCGGCCTCATTCTTTCCAACATTTCGTTTGCGAACGCACCAGAAATGGGCCCATCGTGTAATATAAAACCTTGATTTGTGACGCTCTGTAATGTGATACAGAAATACAGACGTTTAGTAGGAACTTTCTGCGTCAGTCTTCAGGGTAAATTATTACAACTTTTGAAGAAAGCCGTCATCTGGGATGTGGCGCCGTGTGGAAATTGTGTTAACCGACGTTTCGGAGGAATGTGTCGCCTCCATCTTCAGGTTAGAAGACAAGAAGGAATCCGCGAGCGAACCAGCAGAGCAGGTGCAAACTGCACCTGCTGCAGAAGGACCAAACAGTGAGAAGCCCATAAGGTTGCTGGAAGGAACACGAAGGCTAACGCTTTCCAAAAGGGAAGAGCAAGATTTAAGTCCACGA